AGATGCAGTTAAGACCAAACCTGTCCATCCATGGTGAGCACACAGACTAGAGGGCTGACGGTAGAAAATATCTGGCAGAGTAGACTAGGATCAAAATGGAAACTTAATACCGTAGAAAACAGCAATGACGTCCCTCAGGAATGATATCTGAGGGGACGAGTTAAGGAGGATTCCACATAAAATTAGCAAGAGGGAGGAAACTGAAGCTGAGGGGGGGAAAAAAAAACACTTGATTGAAACTAGTAGATACTACATCCATAAAGCCAGCTTCAAAGGAAAGAAGGGTGCTGTCCATCCACAGACGGTACCATGACATTACCAATACAAACATCAAAGTAAGCATGGCAATGGGGAAACCGTAGTTAACAGGAAGAGACTGCAGGTGACAATTTCCCACGGTAGGAATCAAAGGGCTTGCTGTGGGACGAGAGAAAGGAGCTTGTGGAGAGGTGAAGCACTGGGCAGGACAGGCTAAAAAAGAAAAGGCTGCTAACACCACAGAGACAGGGCTGGTGTAGTCAAGTGAGAGACACCGGCCACTCTTCTGTCTCTCCTGGAGAAGGAAGACCAGCTGGCAGAGGGCAGGTGCCTAGAGTTGGCGTTATCACATAGGACTCAAGGCCACAGCATTCTCGGGCACAGCAATGATGCTTTGCTGGCTCAGGGTCTGGTAAAGAGGGAGTGAGTGGGGCCCAGGCAAGAGATGCTGGAGCTGGAAGAGTGTGCTAGAAGCAGAAGGACGGCTGTCTGGAAGTGGTGGTCTGGGTGCAGATGTTCCCTCAGACACAACAGGTGTCAGTGGAGGAAGTTGCTCCTCCTCCGGTTCATTAATAAAATGCCCACGCATCAAGTAAGAATTGGTCACTAGGCACTCCAGCAGCATTTGAGGCAAGGCCACCGTGCCATAGCTGTTTCTCAAGCTGTAGAGTTGCCCAGGAATGTGGGTGGGCGGAGCAGTAGGGAGCCAGGGACTATTCCACAACGCTAACTGCCTGCACATACAGCTAGGAGTTTCCTGCTGCCAGGTGATGTCTCCCACTTGCTCTCCAGTTTTTCCCTCCTTCCTAAATGACTGGGAAATTAGATGGGATGGAAACAAGGTGGCTTTCTGGTGCTGTTCCGGAAGGGCATGCAGGTGAAAAGGAACTAGACACACTTGCTTAGACTAAGAGCGATAATGGCTACCTTGGCAATTAAGACTCTGAGCCAGGCAATAAACCACATGGTTTTCATATATTTTCTTTAATCTTTGCATTAACAAATTATTATAACCTTCCCCTTTTTGAAGCAAGGAAAAGAAGGCTCCACGAGGCAAACAAGCTAGTTCAGAAATCAGGGCCCTGGAACTGCTTATCTTGGAATGCATATATTCTCAATCCAGGCTGAAACTGAGCCTGCCGTGGCGGTACATGGCAGTGGAGCCTTGAATGGCTGACTAGATAAGGAAGGCAGAGGAGGCTGGAAAGTGGCCGAGAGAGTCAGGCAGTACCACGGCCTATGGGAGGATTCATTGAAGAAACCTGTGATAAACCAGGATCCTACCAGATCCTTAACCACTGCTGCTTTGGATTTCCAGCCTCCAAAACTGGGAGCGAGAAATTTCCGTTTATTACTCCATCTAAAATACTATTTTACCGCAGCCAAAACAGCAAGCAGAGACCATTGCTGGGTCTCAGTACTCCTGTTCTGCCCCCATATACACCTACGCTGTACACAGCCACCACCCTGTGCACCACACTGCCATGCAGGAAGCGCCTCCGGCCTGAAGCTCAGACTCCACAGACACACGGTATTTATTAGGTGAAAGGTAACTAAAACAGAAAATGTGGGGTCACTGTAGCGTCTGCGTATCCCAACAACCACCCTCCTCAGCCTCGCATCTGCTGGCTGGAACAGAGTCAGGCACCAAGAGAGTGGCTAACTTTGGAATGTGCCATGTGGCGCGACAAAGTCCATTCAAAAAAAAGATCCTAGCAACTCTTCCTGGCGAGTGGAAACACAGAAGAATCTGCTCGAGGCTGACAAAGAATGTAAACAAGGCCACTGTGAGCAGACGTCCTCATTCAGCAGGTGTCATGAGAGGACAGCTGAGCCCTGGATAACCACCATGGTGGAAGCTCCTCCCCCAGGATGCATTGGTGAACCGCCCATCATCAAGTCAAGACTGGTCACAGGATCCTGGGAAAGCAGCATTTAAAGACAAGCTCACCCTATCCAGTAGGTACTTTTCAAAGTGTAGGAAGTCTGGTTTAGATTCGCTGGTGCTTATTATATTAGTACACGTGTGTCAACAGAATAAAAGCCTCTGCAGCTAGACACTGCATATTTCATATGAACTTCCTGGATGATTCTAGCACAAGGTTCCATCCAAGGCCTCTGCTCAGAGTAGAGACAATGACCGCACGATGTGACAGCAGAAAGCCCACAATGCCCAACCCGACCTCTGAAAAGATGTTAGTGAAATCGTGATTATCCAAGCTTAAAGGAAGCAATGAGCTTCCCAGCACTTCCGCTAGCATTCAGTGGGCAAGAGGCAGACAATACGACCCGGAGCACAGGATGCAGAAACGCAGGAGAAACTCCAGGCAATCATCCTTTCGACTACTCGGTGCATGTGGAGGTGTGGTCCCAAGTCTCACGGCAAGTTCTCATTGGATCAGGAAACAGTGGCTGACAGCCGCAGCTCTGCCGTGGCTCGGCTGTGATACAGCCAGGCAGGCAGAGCCTGGGTTCCTCATTCTTAGTCTGCCTCGATCTGGAAATGCCAGGAGGACCACAATGTAGATGGCCATTTAAAAGTTAAGTCTCAGGAGGAAAGGAAGCCTGCAGTCATGTCCTGGCCCATCACGGACTGACAAGCCAGGCGGCTTTCTCTGAGCTCCCATGTTCTCATCCATAGCACTGGGATAAGGAACAAGGTTGAAACAAAGTCATCTGAGAGCTCCCTGGCATGTCACCCAGAAAAGGACACAAGACCATTTCTCTGGCACTTTAGCCCAAAATGCAAAACTCAAATCTAATAGATAAGAGGCACCATGGAACCCCAAACTGAAGTGCTTTCCACAAAACAGCTGTCAGAAATGACTAGAGACATGTCAGACAATGGAGATCAAAGAGGTACAATGATAAATATAGTATGTGATCTTGGGTGGGCATTAAACAGCGTAAAAATGGCTATAAATGACCCTACTGGGACAACTGATGAAATATGAACATGGACTATACACAGTATATTATGTGATTATGGACCAAGTGCCTGAAATTGTTTAAAAGTACAGAGATTATTTTCTTTTAAAATTGTTGAAACTCATACACACAGCAAAGGCTCCCCGGGCAGCAGGAATGTGCATCAAAGGGTGTCTTAACACAGAGGACCACAAATTCCACCAACCATGGTTAAATGAATACTAAATAGTTCATCAGAACCACTAAATGAGACTCACTTAGAATAAACCGATGGCTTTAGTGATTCCAATGTGCACCCTGGCTTGGGTACCACTTGCCACTCAGCTATGCACAGGGATACCCTGGGAATCTTATCACCATGCATATCTGAGTCAGTGGTCTAGGTAAGGCCTGAGAGCCTGCATTTTTAAGGTCCAAGCAGCTGTTCCTGAGTCCCACATGCTGATAAAGCAAAACAACATGGTAGAACACACTTAAACCCATGCCTCAGCAGAGCCCAGAACTGTGAGTGACAAACCAGCATTTGCTTTGGTTGTCATTCTTTTGGACTGGCCATACCTAGTCCCAACCACATTTGGTCTATGTCAGATATCACCAGGCAATCTCTTTTTTTTTCTTTTTTTTCACTTTTATTTTATTTTTTTAATTTTTTATTTATTTACAGGCAATCTCTTTTAAAGGCAAAACTCGACCAGTCCTATGCAAACCTCAAGTGAAGAAGGCTGAGTGTTGGCTTCCTGATCCCTACACAAAGCTACTGGGCATGTATACTTCACTTGTAAGAGTTGATTCTCCAGTGACCTCAGAGGACAGTGAAAATGACAGTGAGGTGCTGGTTTGATGGGCGGGTTTTAACAATCTGCACAATGTGACATTTCTTGCATGTAAATTTAAGTCTACTTATTCTGGTTTGACCTGTGGTGTCTGTTTTGATTACTTCTTGGAACCCACACATTGCCAAGTAACTCTTGCAGTGATCTTCAACCTGATAATAAAATTAAAATCTGACCCAGTAAAAGAACTGTGAGGATAATGATAAAGTAGTATCAAGAATATAATGGTTAGTGTTGCCATGGTTTTCTAATTGAAAATATAGACCACCACTATGCTTCCTGAACTCTGTAAGTATAAATTAAGTCTCATCTGTTACTTGTTCCAGAATGACTTCAGGGAATGAGAACCGACCAACTTCCCTGGACAATCTCTAATCAAAGAGTAAAAGCCAGATCACATGACTTGTCAATCATCCAGGCTCACAAGTGAAATGATTCTTATAAACCCCCTTGATATATTTTTCATTCAGTACATATTTCCTGATTCTATCCCATATTTCAGAAAATCTGCTAGACACTCAGTGATTTTTATGTAGTAAATAAAATTATGATGGGCTGGGCTCCAAGATGAAGCCCCTCTGTATTAATTTTATTATAAACCTGTTAATACAACGAAACACTTGTTGGTTCTTCTGGAAATAAGTTTTTTTTTTAAAGTTAAGTTTTACTTTGCCCATAGTAGAGCGACCTGCTCACCCATGAGTCCCTGCAAGTATGCTGGGACAGCCCATCTGTCCTACTGAGCAGCGCCCAATCATCCTGTCCCTCTGGATGGTAGTGTGACTACTACGGACAGGAACCCAGTATTGACACAGTCCAGCAGATGGGGCAAGTCTGTAAATGCACAGACTACACTGCGGCAGTGACTGCCCAGATTTTACAGTTCCTCAGAGAAGGAAGGAGAGGTATCCAAAGTCTCCAACCACTCAGTGTGGGGAGAAACACCGTTGTGAGCTCTGCACTCTTGCCCGTCTTACTCACCTGGTCAATCTCCATGAATTTAGGGTAGGCGCCAGGCCATTTTATGGCCACCTTCACGATATCCGCAGGCGGCGGCATTGTGTGATGGAGGAAGTCCGGAGCCGGTGGAAAAGGGGATCCTACTGCGTAGATCGTCACACGTGGCTATATCTAATGAGGAATGACAAAAAGAAAGAAGTAGCTCAGCGCAGATGCAAGGCGAACTTGCTTCATCACTTCCTGTTTTCACTGGTGTCTGAGAGATGCTCCCCTTGGTGCCTGGGGACTGAAGCCACAGGGGCACAGCCAAAGCACCACACGTCCCCAAAGAAAGATGGAGGCTGTGAAAGCAGGGGCGGCAAAACCTCCAGCAGCCACTGCCCTGGTGGTTCGGCTTGCCACGTTTTCAGAAGCAAAGCAGCAGCCCCTTACCACACGAGATGGAACCCTGCACTCATTGGTGCTCGGGCCTGAATGAGCAGGGATCTCGCCCAGACTGCATGTAAACCTTGGCGCTCAACAGTCTCCGGAAGAACACATTGCCCAGGAAGTCATGGTCAGGAAGCAGCTTTTATTTAAAGCATTTTCTATGTGTCACAAATAGATCTGTGCTATAGCAACCAGGATGTCATGAGGAAGGAGAAATTCCCCAGGAGTTCACACATGCTCACACTCCTTCCCCAAGGCCAGTCTTGCAGAGGGAGAATACACATGCGGCCTGGGAGCGTTCAGAAGATTCTTGAATTCTGTCACAAAGGAAGTAATGATTTTTTTCTCTCCCGTGTCTCCATTTCTTTATCTCACTGATTATTCAGCTAGATGAAGCAGTGCCGTGGGTATGGATACACAGTAAGGAGGCTCCCCAGTTGTCACCCCACCCATCAGCACTTTCCCCCTAACCTGAACAGCTTTTCATTGGCTCTTGGTGCTCTCCTTCAGAATGTCCTCATGAATGGAAAACAAACACAAAACTATTTTCTGCCGTTTTCCCACTTCTTTCTACAAAGGCAGCATCCTGTACTATTTTTTACTTTAGTGCTTTTCCAGGTCTCTCTATGTGTCCACAGAGAGGTAATACAATACTGGGGCAGACTCATTCTTTTCCCAGCTGGTCATCAGGGTGTGCCCTCCCTGACGAGCCAGCCCGACCCCTGCAGTGAGTTGATCCTGTGCTTTCTCTCCTACCTCTGGTGTTACAAACAAGCCTACAAGGCATAAAGTCATGCAAATATAACTTCACACATGTAAAAATTTATCCTTAATAGATTCACAGAAGTCAAACTGCTGGGCCAAGAGAGTATACTGTCTAAATTTTAATTGGTATCTCCAGAGCCCCTCTGTGAGTTTCCACCAACTTGCCCTCCCTCCAGCAATGCCCGAGGCTGCCTGCTTGCTCATGGCCTCACCAACAGATGGAGTGTGTGCCAGTGTGGAAACTGACAGCTTGGAAAAACACCTCAATGTACTTTTTAGCTTGTATTTTTCTCATTGCCAAGTATAATAATGGAAAGTCTCGTGTTCTTTTCCTATCCACTGTCCAAACTCTGCCCTTTTCTATGGGTCTTGGCCTTTTTTTTTTCAGAAATACAAATCTATATGAAGACTTTAATCAAACATGTCTTTGATCTTTATCAGACCAACAAAAGTCTTGTCCATTTTCCTACCCTGATTTCCATGGCCCATGAACAGCGCATCACTGTGATGACAGGGATGGCAGAGTTAATAATGATACCTCAGTGATACCCGCAGTTGTTTGCATAAGTAACTTCGGTGGAGGTAAACTTAGCAAAGCTATTGCTCCTCTTCGGCTAAGAAGAACTGGAAAGCTTGCAGTGCGGTGCTCATCAGTGGAGCCCAGTAAGGACAAACCCATAAAGCCCTGGTTTAATCTTGCATCCATAGATCATCACTGCCCCTCCACGAGGTGCAACATTTGCTTTCTGTGTCGAGGACACAGGTGCAGAGTCCACGAGAGACACAAGAATGCGTAGGGACTCATCAGCACATGCTGGCATGGTGACTTGGAGGTGGCGGGGAGTTGGGGCAGACCAAGGGATGACAATTGCAAACATGAAGGCAGGGGAAGGCTGACTGGGACTACAGTGTTGGAGTAAAGACCCGGAGAAAGGTGAAAGCAGGCCCTGTGGACAGCTGAGAAACACTCCCTTGACTTGGAAAAGGTCAGTGCAAGAGCCCCGAGGCAGAAACATTCCTGAAAGATCCCTAAAAGAGGCAAGTCCAAGAAACCAATTAAGACCAGGCAAAAGAAGAAAAAGAAAGCTTCAGGGAGCAGCTGGTTCATAACTTGGGAGGTTGCTCCCCAGATTCCTGACCCTGCACACACTCTTTCACCATTGGTTTATGACGTCTAGGCAAGAAGTACCTGTTCCTATACAGCTATTTATCCAGCCAGCTACATTTAGAAACCCTAATGGTTTGCATTATGTTTGAGTAACTTAAATTTTCTAGGGTGGTATCCTGAAAAAAAATTGTCAAAACAATACCAAATTTTGTTTTGTTTAAAACTTCTTAAAGTTAGCTGGGCGGTGGTGGCGCACACCTTTAATCCCAGCACTTGGGACGCAGAGGCAGGCGGATCTCTGTGAGTTCAAGACCAGCCTGGTCTACAAGAGCTAGTTCCAGGACAGGCTCCAAAACCACAGAGAAACCCTGTCTCAAAAAAACAAACAAACAAACAAACAAAAAAAAACAAAAAAAAAAAAAACTTCTTAAAGTTGAAAACAATAGGGGCTTACTAAATAATTACAGTGTCTCACTCTACACTAACCTAAGCTAAGGATGGGACAGCCTCTGCATTGCTCTGCATTGCTTCTGCCTTGCTTGCATACTTGAGAACATGAGGGACACAAACCCCCTAAGCACCAAACCACTTTACTGGGGATCCACATCCAAACACAAGCCCTAGAACGAAAAGTAAGAAAAAGACTCTGCCCAGGCAGTTGTGGCACGCACCTTTAGCTCAGCACTTGGGAGGCAGAGGCAGGTAGATCTCTGTGTATTCGAGGCCAGCATGGTCTAGAAAGAGAGTTCTAGAACAGACAGGGCTACACTGAGAAACTATACTCGAAAAAAAAAAAAAAGAGAGGGGGAAAGAAAGGAGAGAAGGAGGGAGGGAGGAAGGGAGGGAGGGAGGGAGGGAGGGAGGGAGGAGTAAAGAAAAAGAAAAAGGTTCTGATAAGGACAAAAGTTGTGTGCATATCGGGTAACTCATTCAAAGCAGAGAACACCCAATCCTGAGGGTCCAGAGAATGGACTGCAGAAATAAAAGTGCCCTGAGCACTCCTCCACCTCTCCACAAAACAGTCTAAAATTACACAGAAAGAAGTGACTTCGCCTAGGAATCAAAGGCCGGTCTTGTTTTCTTCCCACTTTAACTGGTCTTTATTTCTGGGACGAAAACCTGCTGAAGAGGTGAGAACACAAAAGCAGGGCTCCCCAGAGTCTCCCTAGAGAGTAGAAGGGCAGCACACACAACACGGCCATTGAAAGGAAGAAGTCGGGGACTTCCCTGGCTTGCTTCCCAGGCCAGCTAGTCCTCAAGGGCTCTCCCTGTAGTGACAACAGCAGGAGAAGGCAGGAAACACCACGGCTCTCAGGGAGCGGAGCTGAAGCCACAACTGCAGGGTGAGCAACCCATCCCACATGCCCCACATAGGAACTCCTCCTGGCCTATCTACGCACAGTCTCTACTGCTCCAAAGCAGCATCTCAGTGGCTTTGACTTCTTACCACTAGACAAAGGTGAGACCTCTGCCAGAACTCTGTCCTATGCACTGCAGCGGGGTGGGCAGCATCTCGGACTGCTCCTCACTACTAAAAGGAAGCAGCTCCCCTTAGTCATGAGAGATTCTGCGGCAGCAAACCCTCTGGGAGGGTCACTAGTGGTCAGGACAGTACTGCTAGAACTACACAGAACAATCTGATTGGCTCTGCAGCAAGTGTTAACACATAGGTTAACTGCCCCAGTTCCAATTTCCAGATGGAAACACACTTTGAAGTCTCCATCCAACAAGTTTGGTCTCCTGGGACCCTTTGCTCCCCTTAGCAAAGCATCTGTAACACTTGACCCTTGCCAGTTTCTTCCAGCATGCTGGGACCCTCCAACAGGAGAGCCACATCGTGTGCAGTTACACCCCCAGGGCAAGGTCACAATTTCATAGATGGCTGCCAGCTGACCCCACTGGCTTCACGACTGACCTTTCATGAGATCTACCAACACAGAAAAAATTAAGTTTATAACACTACATCTCTCAAGTAGTGTGCAGGTTTCCTGACATCACCTGGTGACTGCAATCATTGTGGAGAATCTGGTATAATAATTCTTCCTCGGATTGAAATCTGAGGATCACTGAGGGCAGAAACAATAGAGGAAACAGTCTATGCAGCTGGCTAGACAGCCTAGCCACTGCTTTCTAAGCTAACTCCAAATCTCTGGAGTCAGCCAGGAGTGGGTGGAGAATTTGAAAATGCCCCTACTTGCCTGCTAGATTCACTTTATTCCAGATGTAAAACTGAGAGTCTGTAACCGTCATGCGCACATTCAAAAGCTTGAGTACAGTTGAATATACGCGAAAGAGGAGACTCTTCAGAAACGCATTAGTTACTAAAGGCTACGTCTTAGTTACACGTGGGTCTATAACCATGGGTAGGTTTACTCTATCCCTGAAAGTCTCCTTGAGTCATGTTTCCAAGATAAGGGACAGAAATCACTCCATCCCTAACTAGGTATCTGTCTTGCTTTCCAATTCATCACAGTGAAAGAACCAGACAGAGGAGGCTGGGTCAGAACAATGGGACAAAAATGAGAAGCAACATAGGGAAGGGCCCGCCTCAACCCTTCTCTCTCTCTCCTCTGACCGACTCAACAGACATTATTTCTGGTGACAGAAAACGGCTTTCAAATAGTGCCCATGGAGATAGCCTTGCTTTTAAAACGTTGTGTGGTTCCCATTTCCGTTTGCCTTGGGCTGTAGAAAGGGGAAGGACTCCCACAGAAAGCAGCCACAGTTCACTCTGAGGCCCACCCCATCTTCCTGGAACTCTCTAGCTTTCATGTTTGAGGTTGTTGCCTTATAGGGGCAGGGTTCCTCAAGAAGGCTCCCAGCAGACAGACAGGGCTCAGTAAAGCTTTGTTCTCGGGGCTACATCATT